TATTTAAATATATTTTTAAATAAAAAATTATTAAAAAAACTACTATCAAAATATTAAACTTTCTTTTAAGCTTCATTTAGCATGGTCATTGATATGATCATATGCTCTAGTCATGCATTCTTACTTCTAGGAGAATAAAAGTAGCCATGAGGCATGCCATGAAGGAGAGGTTTTAAAAAATTTAAAAAATATCATTATATAAACTTGATTATTTTTTTCATTTAAATCTATTATGTGTTTTTTTATATTCCAATCAAACTTGGAGGCTTTTTTTTTTTCTTTTCAAATTACTACATTTCAAAAAATATTTAAAAAAAATGGATATTTTCATGAGTTATATGTTATACATGTGACTCGCGACTCTAAACAAATTATAACTCACATATCTAGTTTCTTTTTATTTTTCTTTTCTTTGAACAACCACTACTCCCTCCACTTTCCTTTATTGCTACAACCATCACTTTCTTTCCCTACCGAGAAACACCCTTTTGGTCACTATGAGATAACCTCCCTCCCTCTTTTTCTACAATGATGAGGCCCTCTCTCCACCCTCTATCGCTAAATTTTAGTTGCTGCCATCACCACCCACACTCAACACTTAAAGGGATAATACATACTTTCTCTCTATTAATTTAGTATCAAATCTATGCTAATTTGTTCTTGAGATGGACAAGTTAGGGAGGTGGTGTAGACTCATCCATGAGTTGAGATGATTTTTAAATGTAGTTATATTATATGCTTTATATTTTGAGAATTATAAATTTAGTTTAAATTTAATATAATGTTGTGAGAATTTTCATTATGTTTAATTTTGAATTATGAAATGTGTTGATTTTTTAAATTGTATAGTATGTTGTGAAGCTTGTTGAAGGTGAATTGTGAATTGTGTTTGTAAACTGTGATTCTTGTTGGGTTAAGTTTTTGTGATATGGAGTCATAAACTTGAAACAAACTGTCGTGACCACTTTTCCTAGAGAATTACAAGACATGCATATGACTTCCGAGTTGGAAATATAGCATATAATTTATGAGTCGTAGATACAATATGCAACTCATGAATATATATATTAATTGTGCTAGTATCCAAAAAGAACATTCCTCAAACTTGATCGATTATTTATTTTTTTACCTTTCAAATATATTAGATACATATATGATTGCAAATAAAATAAGTTTCAAAGAGATATATAACTCGGCCCCTCAAGATCTCGTAAGATATTATGCTTGTGTTCACCATATGCTTGAAATCATCATTTATTTTTGTGTTCGGGACTCTATTTTAAAAGTATATTAGCTTAAGAAAATATCAAATTAATATTTTTTTAGTATTTTTTTTGTTAATTTTAATATGTTGATATTAAAAATAATGTTAATTTTAATATGTTGACATTAAAAATAAAAAAATATTTAAATATATTTTTAAATAAAAAAATATTTTTAAAAAATACTCTATATTATAATATCAAATACAAAGCATTGAAACTCAAGATTGATCGTTTTGAGTATTATAAAATTTAATCTCGATTTTTATATGTCTTCTGCGTATGTCCTACAGAGATGTTTATAACATTAATTGTCATAATTATTTCGACTCTTCTCTATGATCTCACTTCATGCAATAACACGGCAAGAAACTCCAATGGCCAAACTAGCCAGCGTGGAAGTTTTTGATACCATCCATAGTTAATGACTTGAGTGGATGGTGAAAGTGAGTCCATGGAGGTTTGTTTTTGCGTGTGAAACATTATTTAAAAGCGTGTTAGGATGAAAGAATATCAATTGGATATTTTTTTTAGTATTTTTTCAGGGTTTTGAAATATTATATAATTTTAATAATAAAAAAATAAAAAAAAAATTAAAATAAAAATGATTTTCACGTGATTATCACGCATATATTGATTTTCAATGATTTTCTCGTGATTATCACGCATATATTGATTTTCAATGGTACGTGATTATAGGTTGGGAAAGGAAAGAGAGAGGGAGAATTATGATTATAATATAAATTAAAAAAATAAACTAAGATTTGAGGATATTGTATGTCCTTTTATATTTCACTTATTATATTATTATTTATAACCAATTTTTTAAAAATAAATATCTGAATTTTTTATTTTTACCTTGGTCACTAAACTTAATTCTTTTTAAATTTATCATTTTACATTAAGTCATCATGGTTTTATTTGTTGTCATCGATTTTTGTTTATATTATTTAGAATATTTTAACACTAGATTAAATATCAATTATATAAAATAGAAATTTTGGTTATTATTAGAAAAAAATAAAAAAATAAGAACCAAAATTAAAATTAAAAAAAAAAGCATTTTTTTTTTTTGCATTGTTCAAATGGCTCAAATAGCTAAACTCAAGTTTAACTCGTTTATAAAACAAAATTTTAAAATAACTAAAATTAGCACCGTGTGCATTAACAAATGAGTTTGAGCTAGCTTTTAGCAAAGCAAGTGGCTTATTTGCGTTACCATTCTCAGATAAAAGAGCAAAATTAAACCCATCCATTTCTTGTGTTTATTTTTTATTTTTTTAATGAATGTATAAATATGTTGATCATATATTTAATTGGGAATATTGCAGTTTTCATATCCTCAATTTTAGGATTTGCAGGCTAAATAAATAATTGGGTTGGTTCTGTCCTTGTATTTTTTTATGTGGATCCTGCCCAATTACAATTTCTTTCTATTAAATTTGCACTTTTACTCTTGTTTTTTAATGATTTTTGTCATAAATCTTTGCATTGACTGACAAGATCATCACCTGAAAAATAAAAATTTATGAATAAAAATGAAAAAAGAATTTGAATAAAAAACCCTAAATTAATAGAAATTTATTATAAAACTAAAGCAGAAGAGAATTTAGTTGCAAATATTCTTAAAAATATTATACATGAAAAAAGGATAGTAAATAAATAAATAAATTTGAAAGGTAGAATGTAATGAAAAAACGAAGAAGAAAAAATAAAGAAATTAAAAAACCCATTTGCTTTTATTTTTCAATAAGGTCAAATTACCTCAAATACACAACTAATCATAAAAAAACTAAATTTCTCATAATTTTATGACAACAACATTTTCATTAGATGTTATTTTATTTTATTATGACACTTATTAAGCTAATATTAAATATTTGATAAATGATAATAGATGATCGATGAGAAATTTTATAGTGGTTAAATAGTAATTATAGATAATTACAACATAAAATAGAGATAAACACAAAACAAGAGGAAAACATGAGAGAGAGAATTAAAAATATAATATTTGAATGAGTAAAAAAAATTATTGTTTTTTTTTGGTAGAATCAGATGTTATTTTCTTTTTTCTTCATTTATTTATTTTTTATATGTTGTAGGTATCCACATGGTATTTTAATTAGTAAAGCATAAGAGAAGAACATAAATCTTAATTAAAAAAAGAAGTTCTTTAATGATAGAACCATTAAATTTGTAGAGGAGCACAATTTAAAAAGAGAGTGGAAAAGTAAAAGACATCATTAACCCTTAAATAAATGCTATGCTTTCCAAGTACCATAGTTATCAAAGGCAGTGAGTCGACTTACTGATTCATATATTGAATTTGTTTTCAATTTATTTTGAGAATTCATTCACTGAAATCTAAATGAGCAAACTTTAATTTTTTTTTCAATCTAAAACAATGTATTTTGTAATTAAATTTAAGCCGAATTACCCAAATCATAAATTAAATTAATCAATTCACAACTCAGGTATTAAACCATATTAACATTTGAATTAAGTTTGATAACCATACCAACTACTATAAACTAAAGTTTTTAAATTCAACTTGGTTTGGGTTGAATTACAAGTTAATCTAGATTAATTTAAATTTATAATCATTTTATTTTTAATTTTAAACAATATTTTTATGAAGAATTTTTAATAAAAAAATCAAAAAAAGTTTTAAATGAATCAACCGAATCAATTCCAAACTGATTTTTTTAAACCCAACCTGAAGTAATGGCCGGATCTATCATGTTCCGAATTTACTTTCGGGTCAGGCAGTGTTTAATGGCTGTGTTGTGAGCAACCCCCTGGGAGCAGCATAACGCAAATCAATTATGAATACAAATTTACCCACTAGTTAATAAAACCCACCATTTAAATCAAGGAAAAGTGTTTTCGTCACCAAGTAATGCGCGTCAAGGGAAAATGCACGTATTAAGGCAGCCGTCTGACGGTGGACCCCACCAATGAGTTTCATGTGATGTCGACAATCATATAGTTTGTGCACTGCATTTGTTGATTTTTTTTAGATTATTATGGGTGTCTGAACCAGCTTGTGCGCACTATGACTAATTCTATGGGTCCTGAAGTTAACAACCATGTAAGCCTCCAGTGGCCATCATATAAGCAACTAAAGACTCGAACCTGAGACCACAGAAGGAACAAATCCCTTAATCCCAATTCTTACCACTTGGCCACCACCTTTATTTTTTTTTTAATCCACTTAGAAGGTCTAAATCAATACATCTCAATTAATTCCTATGTATATATTTAATTTTAATATTTAAACACAACCTTGGTGGAGTACTAATATTTATTAAAAATATATTAAAATAATAATTTTTTAAGATTTACTTTTAATATTAATGTATCAAAATAATTTAAAATTATAAAAAAACTAACTTAAAATAAAAAAATTATAATTTTTTAAAAAACGTTTTTTCAAACGAAAAAACAAGCACGCTTTTAACTGTGGTTAATAAGAGGCTAGCGTGGATGGATGCCTCACCGATGCCTTGTCTTTTTTTTTTTCTCCCTGTTGTAGTAGTACGGTCTAATATACTCTAATTCTATAGGTTGATGCCTAGCTATTTAAATGTAGCAGTAAATAACGATTGGCGAGAGATAAAATGGAAAGAAAAATCACAAACAAGATGTAAGGTAAGCTAAAACGACTAGAGACTAGAAAGAGAGTAGAGAGTGACTAAAAACTAGACAGAGAGAGAGAGGGAGAGAGAGAGACACCAGGAGAGAGAGAGAGACCAGAATGAGGCTCAAAGATTACATCTTGGGCGGCTAGAGAGTGCTCTTCTAGTATTCGGGGTTTAGGTAAAAATATCGATAACGTTGATTTTAAGTCCTTTTAAACAGAGAAAGAGATCACAACAAGAAGTCAGCAGCAGCAGCAGCAAAACACTCCTCCCTCTTGTGTGGTGTAAAAAAAAGAGCGGTTTTTGTGTGAGTGAGAAGACTATAAAGCAGCAGGAGCGGTTTTGTTACTGAAACAGGAGGGGCAGAGAGAGAGAGAGAGAGAGAGAGAGGGCCTGAGCCACTTTTCACTCCCTGTATACTCTTTAATTATGAAAGTAAAATGACTCCTTACATAACCGTCCTGTCTGCTCAGCGTTTTATATGGTTTCTGGCTCATTTAATGGGGTAGTCCTGTACTGCCTGAAAGACCTTCTCTTTCCTTCCCTCCTCCAGCTTCCATCTCTTTAGCGGATTCTCTTTCTATACTCCGTTTTCTCTCTACATCTCTGATACCACCTTGCTTGACCGGTTCTTTTGATGGCTCATGCTGAAAGAGGTGAGTGTTGATTTGGCGACCAAGAAAATGAATGGGCCTTTGTTGCTTTGTTTGGTTGCTGAGAATGGAGAAGAAAGGCAAAATAAATGGGGCTTTGAGCTGTACTATTAATTAATCTTGGTGTGCAAAAGATTATAAATTTTGATGGAGTGGAGGTTTTTACTTTTAAGGGACTAAAATTATGCCAAACTTATGTTTATTAATCTGCTGTTCTCTTTTCTTTTCTTGGGTTTTCTCAGCAACCAAACAGAGTTTTAGACCCACTTAAACATTATTTAAGAACTTCCGTTATTTTGTGTGTTTTAATTTGGTTTTTGATGGGTGTAGGATGTGATGATCTATATACAGAGCTATGGAAGGCATGTGCAGGGCCATTGGTGGATGTCCCAAAGGATGGAGAGAGAGTTTTTTACTTTCCTCAAGGTCACATGGAACAAGTGTGTAGCTTTTTTTTTTTTTTAATTTTTCTTCATAGCTCTACTTTCATTGTTTTAAAGCACTTAGATCGAAATCTTAGTCCCTACCTTTATTGTTTTTTGGCATGTGGATTCTTTATGCAGTTGGAAGCATCAACAAATCAAGAACTGAATCAGCAAATCCCACGGTTTAATCTTCCACCTAAGATCCTCTGTCGTGTTGTAAACATTCAACTGCTGGTAATTCTAATACCGTTGCTCTTGTTTCCTATTTCTGTTTACTTTGAAGTGTTTTTTATTATTTTCTTTTATTCACTTTTGTTTTCTTTAAATTTTTAGGCTGAACAAGACACGGATGAAGTTTATGCTCAGATTACTCTGCACCCAGAAGCAGATGTGAGTAAATGTTTTTCCTTTTTGGGTTTTCGTGTGTTTTGTTTTCGGGCTTGTTGTTTCATTTGGTTGCTGAATGACTGTTCTTGTACTACAATTCAATTTCAGCAAACCGAACCTACAAGTCCTGACCCTTGTCCACCTGAGCCGGCAAAGCGAACAATTCATTCCTTTTGCAAAATTTTAACAGCTTCTGATACTAGCACCCATGGAGGCTTCTCTGTTCTCAGAAAGCATGCCACTGAATGCTTGCCTCCTTTGGTAATTACTCTTAAATGGTGTTTAGATGTAGTAGTGGTTGTTCATTAAAACTTCTGTTTTTTATTACCACTATTTCATATTCATTAGGACATGAGCCAAGCAACACCAACTCAGGAACTGGCTGCCAGAGATCTCCATGGCTTTGAATGGCGGTTCAAGCATATATTTAGAGGTAAATGTTCCATATCGATTTTACTTTGTTCAGTGTTGCTGTTTTCCAATTTACTGAAACGGAGAAAAGCTTAAGGAGCTGGAGTTTAGACTTTCTGAAAAATAGGAGCACAACCTGTTGTGTTACTCTTATCTTCTACTTTACATGTTTTCTTTTAACTTATTTAACTAGGTCAACCGCGAAGGCATTTACTTACTACAGGATGGAGCACATTTGTCACTTCCAAAAGACTGGTTGCAGGAGATGCTTTTGTGTTTCTTAGGTAGTTGGACCTAGATGATCTGATTTATTATTCAATTCAGGTCTCTGTTTCTGCTTACAATTCTACTGTATATGCTGTGTAGAGGTGATAATGGGGAATTGCGAGTTGGAGTTCGACGTCTTGCTCGGCAGCAAAGCTCCATTCCATCATCAGTGATATCCAGCCAAAGCATGCACTTAGGAGTGCTTGCTACTGCCTCTCATGCTGTTTTGACACAGACCCTCTTTGTTGTGTACTACAAGCCAAGGTTTGATTATTTCCTTAATCACTGTAAACCTGTGCGGTGCTTGTTAATTGGTCATCCTATCCCGCAAATCTAAAGTTTACTTTCTGTACCCTTCTGCAGGACAAACCAGTATATCATCGGGCTGAACAAATATCTGGAGGCTGTTAAGAATGGATTTTCTGTAGGTATGCGCTTCAAGATGAGATTTGAGGGAGAGGATTCTCCTGAGAGAAGGTATGTCCTCCATATATTTTTGGTTTCTGGGTTTCATGGTTGTTTTAAGATGTTCCTTAATTCTTGTGGCAACTGCATGATCAGGTTCACAGGAACAATAGTTGGAGTTGGAGATATTTCTCCAGAGTGGTCTGGCTCTATATGGCGGTCATTGAAGGTTGATTACAGTTGTGGAATTCTTATGTGAATGCTAACTTATTCATTGTCTTGTTTTTTATGCTTTTTTCCCTATTATTTTCCCCCACAGATTCAATGGGATGAACCAGCAACTATTCAAAGGCCAGAGAGAGTTTCTCCATGGGACATAGAGCCTTTTGCAGCCCCTGCTTCCCCAAATCTAACTCAACAGGTGATGAAGACCAAGAGGCCTCGACCTACAGATATTCCTACATCTGGTATGTGGAATGATAGTCATGGTTTCTCTATTTGAATTATTCAATCTATACTTTCTTGAAATTTATGCACTAATTGGAGTGTAGTGATTACTCCAAATTCAGCTGCTTCGTCTTTCTGGTATCATGGACCAGCCCAGTCCCATGAGCTAGCCCAACTAGGGAGTAGTATTGAAGTCCAAAGCTCTGAAAGCCATGTCTGGTCTATGAGGCAGAAAGAAATTGATAGCAATCTCCTCAATAGTAGCAGTAGCTGCAACACAAGGGCTCGACCAGAAGGAATCTGGCCTTCACCTCACATGAATGGCTCTCTCAACTTTTTTCCAGATTCAGTGGGGGACAATAATTTTGCTACAACACAGTCTATTATCTCTGGTTTTTCCTCTCCTATATCATCAAGGCAAAGCAATTGCCTGATAAATGAGCAGGTGGAGAAGGGGAGAAAGTATGAGAACTCTGTAGGTTGCCGGTTGTTTGGAATTGATCTGACAAGTAACTCCAGTAGTTCTGCTCCTCCAGAGAAGGAGCCTGGATATCCTATTGTTGATTCTAATGGCACCAAAGGACTTGGTCCAGCTGCAAGTGAGGCTGAGAGGGCCCAAACAATGGACGTATCAATGTACTTGAAAGAACAGAACCAAGTTTTATCAGAGGCGATGTTAAAGGAGTCACAAAGCAAGCAAGGCTCCACAACCTCCATGAGAACTCGTACTAAGGTAAAATTTGAGGTTCTGCCTTCCGTAGTTCTTTCCTTTCTGTCTGAGCTTCTGATGAGTAAGATTTTCTTTGATTCTGGAAAGGTGCAAATGCAGGGGATTGCTGTTGGTCGTGCTCTTGATTTAACTGTGTTGAAAGGATACACGGATCTTATAAATGAGCTGGAGAAGATGTTTGAAATCGAAGGAGAACTCTCCACACCCAAAAAATGGGCTGTTGTTTTTACAGATGATGAGGGCGATATGATGCTTGTGGGTGATGATCCATGGCCGTAAGTAATTAAGAAACTTGTATATCGTTTCTCTTTTCCATTAAATTATAACTGGATTATTGAAATCTATTTTATTAACCGCAGGGAGTTCTGTAAGATGGTGAAGAAGATATTCTTGAAGAAGACGGGCACAAGATGCAAGCTTCCAGCATCTCCTTTTGAGGGTGAAGAGACTGTTGTAAGCAAGGACTCGGAGCATACGTCTGATGCATGAAATTCAGAATTCATTTTGCTTTATACAGTTTTGTTTTATATAGCTGGGGTAAAAATGGAGGAAACGTGGTGCTTAAGTTTGCTCAGTTTTTTCGGGAGCTTGCACTTGTTAGGCAGAGGGGTAAGGTGGAGGTCTTTTGAGTCTAGATCGCTGGTTAGGGATTTCAAGTTTTTTTTTATATATAAATTAGGAACTTAAATTTAAATCAAGATTAGAACTGGAATTTGTGTATACCTTGATTGTGGGTTGGCGATGACTTGAACTAATCAGCGTGTAAAAAATATATGAATGCTTGCTTGTGTTGTGGCTGGCTTTCACTATTTAACATTTTGTGTGCCTGCCTTGGAAAAATCCTACAGAGAAGATGCCCTGATTTTCTTTCCCTCTCCCTGAGCTCCCTTTATCTGATTTTATCCGGGACCATTAAATTACAAAGTGTCAGCATGTATGAGGAGGCCCTAGAGTGTTCAGTGCAGTCAATAAATTTTTCAGGTAGTGATAATTGTCCTTGCTGCTGGTCCCAGGTATGCTGGACAGGACATTTCTCTGATAAGGACTAGTCTTCTCAAAGTTGATCGATATCGTGTCTGGTCCTAGAAACTTGTTATATGAAAAACCAGCTATGAGACCTGGATGGTAGGTGACACATGGTCTGGCTCTATACTCGGATAATGTGGAAGCACTTTTAGCCACTTTAATTTCTCATGGTAATTGCGAACAAGTCTTATATAGTTGCTTAATGATGATACAATATTTTTTTTTTAAAAGATGGGATGGCCTGTTGTTTGGGCCTTAACATAATTGCTAGAACAAGTGGTCTAACCACCAGATCAATCAACCCCGGTTGACTTTGTGAACATTAAATCTGATAGCCAAGATGTTTTGTAACCACCAGATCAATCAACCCTGGTTGACAAGAACATTAAATCTGATAGCCAAGATGTTTTGGTCACATGGCCGGGTCTTGACCCAGCCACTAAACTGGCTAGCTTGATTGATGGAGCACCACCAAACTTGATAGCCAAGTTGTTTGATTATATTGGATAAGCTTCGACTCATACCTATTTGAATTCCCTGGAAACCCGCTAGCATACACCATAATACTGAGAAAATATGATGTTGCGCTCTCGTATGCTTTCATACGAGGGGTTTATGCTATGCTTATTTCCTCGCCAATGGTTTTTCTCTGTACTGTTGCCAATAGCTGTCTCCCCAACTTGTGCTAACCTTTCATACCAATCATCTTTTAGTTCCAACTTTTTCATCAATGATACAACAAAGTACAACTAACTAATGACTCAACTTTCAAGTTGAAAAGGAAAAAAAAAATTGTTCTTTTATCATTATTTTACTCTCCATGAAGCAAGTTTTAAGCAACTAAGGTGTAAAGAATTCCATATAAGAATATTAGACCCAAAAAAAATCACAAACCACAAACACTAGTCACACATACACTTCTTACACTTTTCATTCTCTTTCATGGGAGCTGCTCATGTCATGAAGAGTTCCCTTATTGAATGCTCCAAATAGAATCTTCATGTCTCCAAACAAAATCACCATGCCTCCAACAAAAACCTTAATATCTTCAAACAAATTCTTCATGGCTCTAACAAAAATATTCATGTCTTTAAATAAAACACTAACCAAAATTTACATGCTCTAATAAGAATCTCCATTCAACTTCTTCACACATAATACTTAAACAATACTTTCATAATCATAAACATTCTCCACTCTCCAAGTGAAAGTATTCTCCACCTTAGAAGAAACAAACAAGTTAATCAAACTCTCATTACTCTTTCACAACTCGTTAACAAAAGACACAAGAAAGTAACATGACATGCATAAAACAACAAATGTTCTCACCCTTCTATTTCTAATAGTTAAGTCTTTCATACATATATTTGAAAGACTGAGGGAAAATAATGATATATATATTTTTTTAAGAAAATAGTAGATCAAACACCTTGTTGTCAGATATAGGCTTCAACCCAATCGCTAGACTGGTTAGTTAAGATAATTCATCATCTGAGTTAGGCTTAGCCCAACAACAAAATCAAACAACCAAGTTGTCCAATCTAATGGTTGAGTGTCAACCCAATCGCTAGACTAGTTAGCTAAGATAATTGGTCATCTGAGTTAGGCTTAGCCCAACAATAAAACCAAACAACCAAGTTGTCCAATCCAATAGTTGAGTGTCAACCCAAGCATTAGACTAGTTAATGTGGCTTACTAGTCATCACTAGACTGGACAGTTTATCAGATGGATTAGGCTTCATCTCAAGCAATACTATTTGGGCCTCGACCTAACCCCATTGATTAGTACTTAAAAGTGCATTTTTATCATGGTTTTATATCATCATTTTGCACTTGAAGTATCAATAACTCCTTAACCAAAGCATGTTTTATAATAATATATCAAATAATATAAGATACCTTTAATTTGTGGTAAATGTCTATTTTTAATGCAGGCCTATCACATAAATGAAAGGATTGATTGATGACTTGAAGAACTTAAATTGCATGGATAAAGAGATGGTCAAACTTAGAGAAGAGATGTCGGTGCAATCCAAACCGGAACACTGTTCGGTAATTGGGTCATATCTGGAGCTACAGATCTCAGATTTAGGTCCAATTTATATGGATGGAAAGGTAAGACATAGGCCTACAACTTTCATATGGAGCCCAAGATCTAAAAAGGCCATTATCAAGTCCAAATTGTAGCAACAACAAAGAAGCCCGAATCTGTCTTCCAGCCCGAGCACTATTCGGTATTTTGGCCATATCTGGAGTTCTAGAAGTCCAAATGAGCTAAATTGTTTACACAAGAAAGCTGAGACAATTGCCTACAACTTTCATGTTTGCAACTGGCTCCAATTTTGACGTTATCAATGACGTTTTGGGCAGACAAGAGAAGATAAGGATTGTCACCAAGTCAAAAGTTGGTCACCCACTTATCAATTAGTCATCAAATCAATAGTTCCCATTTTTGGCCTATAAAAGGAGGCATTTGCCATGCATTTAGGCATCTTGATTTCCAGATCAAGATCATGCTCTTCCTTTCTCTCTTTGTATTTTTTATGCTTTGTTTTCATTAATATTAAGTTTATGCCTTTCATTTCCTTTCCTTTACTTAGTTAACTTTTATGTTCTTATTTTGTTTATCTATTTTGCTTTCTTTCATTATGTCTAGCTAAGTTAATTATGTCAAGGTGAAAAGGTTACACTAATGGTGTAAGAATAAGTATAATGTAAACTTAATATGGACTTTAATGTTTGATACTAACATGTTTTATATTTGCTATCTTGTTCACTCTTTAATACTTTGCTTGTTAAATGACTAATCTTGATTTATGTTATATAACACTTGGTACAACAAATGCTTGGCACTTTCATAGCCCATAATGTATGGTATAACCGACACCTGAGCTATGAAAGGAACTTGATTTGTTGTTAACATAAGTTATAATCATGAATGCTTGACGAGATTTACAAGTATTAGCATTAATTGAATAAGATGACTAATGTAATCATGTTAACAATATATAATCTGATTGGAACCTCCTTTGTGTGTGGTTTCCAATTCAATAATAAGAGTTTATACTATACTTGTTTGATATACCATTAGTGGAACCTCTAACCTTGACATTTGTTATTATCATTGTTTAATCGTTACATTAATATTCCATCTCAAAGTTCTCATCATCTTCTTCTTCTTGGTTTGACCCCGGTCTTGCCGGGTTATTTATTACTTCGACACTCCTGCACTTGGGAGAAGACATCAATCTTTTAGTCGTGTCACCCATCCAAATTCATATCGAGCACAACATTAGCACCCACTGTAATACAAAGTAACAAACCTTCAAGAAAGTACGACATTGTGTTATTCTATATTTACACATGAATTGTTAATATGATATGTATTTTCTTCATAATTATTATCTCTCTTAACCTATCTCTTAAAATGGTTTCTACTTTCTTGTAAAAATCTCTCCCACTAGCTTGATCCTAAGAGGCCATCAACCTTTTACATCAATTACCCTCGAGTGTCAACTTTTCTATCAATATCACAATAAAACACAATGATAAAAGACTTAACATTTAAAGTTACCTATAAAGAAAAGTCAATTATTCTATATCATTACTTCATTATTCACAAGGTAAGATTCAAAAACTTTATTTTTGTTATTTTGTTCCTTGATTTGAGAGAAAAAAGAGAGAGTCACTAATTCTAGTGGTAGAGAGAGAAAATATTAGTTGATGTTATAATAGTCATGAAAAAGATCGATGTTAATGTCAATGAGTTCTTTTCGATTAAAAGAGTTCTATTAAGATATTTTTTAGTCTTCCCAGCCCCTTAGATGGTAGGTTTGAGCTTATAAAAGTTTTTGAAATCAAGTTGATTTTAGGGTTTTGGACAAGTTTCTAGGTTATTTGAGGTTATAAACTGATTTATTAAGGTCTTTAAGGCTTTTTAATTGTTTTTGGTAAAAATGGATTGAAAATAAAATTTAAAGCATAAAATACTCTTGCCTTAATTTTTTAGTGACACTTTGGTCTCCAAATTTTAGAGACACCAGCATCGGGTGATCTGTTTATGTAGAAGATACATTGTATTTTTTTCTTAAAATAAATAAAGGATGAATTACTTGTTGTTTATTCTCTAATATTAGAAAAAAAAAAAGGTATGACACACAAGCCATATCTCTTTTTATGGGCCAAGGGCCACCTCTGAGAGTGAGAAATTGTATTGTGTCTATGTAGCGATTGGACAGAAATGTTCAACTATACCACAATTAGTTTAAATTCTTTCAGAAGTGAATGCTTTGGAATATTCCTTTCTTGTAGCAGCCACCGTTTCGGATCCTGCTCCTCTGCAATTTCTAGCCCCATATTTTGGCTGTGCTATGAGAGAATATTTTCGTGATAATGGAATGCACGCATTAATAATCTATGATGGTGGGTAGGTTGACATGCCTGACTTAATTATTATTTTTTTCTAAATATTTATTTATTTATTTTTAGTTCTTTAAAAGTTTTAAAAAGTCATTTGTTTGTAATTTAATGGTCTCTTTTTGTTATTAAACTTCAACAAAACTCATTTTGTTATCAAACTTTAAAAATAAGCCCTTTTTTTTTGTATTTTTAGGCCCATGTATTTTTTATTTTTTTTTTTTTTTTTTAATTGGATGAGTCCTATATACTTGGATTATTGTATGATTAAATGAAAAATAATCTCAAAGATAAAAAAAAATTGTTAAATCATGTGTGATGCATGATTAGATCGTGATATTAGCAAGTTGACTCGAGTTAATCCGAGTCTTTTTTTAATTAAATATTTTTATTTTTATCTTTTAGTATTGGATTACTTGGAAATTTGACATCATTATTTATTTCAATCTGCTTTTTATAAAATTATCATAGTTTTTTGATCTAAATCTCTATTTAAATATTTGTTCTTAGTTATCCAAATTCGATCTAATATATTATTATTTTAATATTTTAAAAAATATTTAATAAGTCATTGTCTGGCATTGAAAAAAATATGTTATTAAATATGTATTAGATTGTACATTCATAATTATTTTTTATTAGAAAACACATTATTAATGTAAAAATATAAAAATATGTTATTAAATATGTGTTAGATTGTACATCTATAATTATTTTTTTATTAAAAAATACATTATTAATATATAAATATATTTATTTTTTAATGTTTAGATAAAAAAATTCCAACGGAAGATGCAGAGCAGACAATGGTATCGTCTTTTCTAAAAGGTCTAATTGTTCAAGTGGAGAAGGACTAAGGATTTAAAAGGTGTAAAATCCACTTGACAATGACATAGAAGATTCCGTAGTGTTTTTTTTTCTGCTTGAAAATTTCGGGTTTAGACGTCAAGAAGGAAAACTTCCAGGAAAAAATATCTAAAAAATAATTAAAATTTAGTTAAAATACATGGTGTTTGTTTGAGAAAATATTTTAATATTTTTTTAAAAAAAATTTATTTTTGAAAATTTTTTTTTTTATAATTTTGAATTGTTTTGATGTGTTAAGGCTAAATATAAATTTTTTAAAATAAAAAATATTATTTTAAAATATTTTTTATTTTAAAATATTTATAAATAAAAAATATTTTAAAAACCAAATATCATTACAAAACGAAACACCTTCTCCCTAAAAAACCCAACGAAGAATTTTGTGTTTTATGAATGGGAACCAGAAGGATTATTTTAAAGTGGAAAGGGGAAATGCATGAAAGAAGGCGTCTTTACGGCCTCCACTGTGGAGGCGTTTCATGATTTATTCATTTCCACATTAATTATTAGGTGGTGGTAGGTTAGAGTCCTGACCTTCCCAAATCAAGTTCTTCATTTTTTATTGGAGCTCCGGTGAGGCTTTTGCCACAATGGTTTGCATCTTCTCCATTAAAAGTGTCCCATAATGGTTCCTTTTTCGAACGATCTCGAAGACATATCTCTCACATCGATATGGTGTATTCATATAAGCTTAATAAATTCTCCTACATGCTAGCTCTAAGCTTTAAACCCAGAAAGTTGAGGGACGAAGAATATCTTCTAAACTGTTGGGCCAAACCTTGGAGGTTGTTCTTGAGAACTTGAGAGCATCCAAATCCATAATATTTAACAGTGAATGAGATAACCAGAAGAGAAGCTAAATCCCATATAAATGCCGAGCACAAATCCATCATTCTACAGCTCCCTCCTTGGTTATCTTCCCTCCCTCTTTTCCAAACTCATTGCTCTGCTTCTGCTCCATGCTTCGCTTACATGCGCACAGAAAGAGGGATGGTTTGTTCGAAAATATGAATCATATAAAAATTTAAATTATTAAATAAAAATTTAAAATATTAATTATATTATTTTTTAATATACTTATTTAAATAAAAATTCTTTAAACTTAAAACTTATACAAATTTAAAATATATTATATTTAATTTTTATCAAATAAAATTTAAATTTATAATCACTTTACCAACAAAAACTCTAATATTATATTAAATAATTATCTCAAACTAAATATTTAAATTATTTTCTATTTCTCTTCCTTTTATCTCCGCATCCCGTCCTTGTTCTCCCCCGCCTCCCTCTAATATTATTTTTCCTTTCTTTGTTTGGTAGAAAGGGTATTTCTGTTCTCTCCCTTTTCACTCAGATAAATAAAGAAAGAAAGAAAAGATTAAAAAAATATATAAGAAAACGCTGTGCTGTTAGACTGGATATTTTGTATTTCCCGCGGCTGGATATCTGATTTCAGGTGTCACAGTCCAATTCTCATCCACTATCTCCATTTGGGTCTCAATGCATTCCTCTCTACTCGTCACAAAAATGATTCTTGCTGTGCAATTTCTTTCCTTCTGTTCAGTGTTTGCAAGCACACACAGAAGCACCAGTTCAGAAAACTACAGCCATATGCGGCGGCATTTTTTTAATTTTTCGCAACCTCAACGTTTATTTAGATGATTGGCAATTGTCATATGATTGTTGTCTACCTGTGGTTTTCAAATATCACTCATTCCTTGAATAGGCTCGTGATATATCTTGTTCCCGGAGAAGTGGAGCTGCTGGCCCAGAAAGATTGTTCATGAATGCTATCAACAATAATTTAAATAGCTCATCGATGAGATGTGTTCTCACAACATAACCATAATCAGAATCATTTCTAGCTAGATATGTTGTGTTGTGCAATATACTAGATTGTACTTTAGTTGCAAGAATGATGTCGTTTATCGAAGGAATCCGAGCGTTTGAACGGCAAGCGAATCTATCTTATACGGTGCAATTTACAGCATAGAACCTCTAGATGCTTTAGACTGTCAAATAGCTATCAAACATGTAATTGGCTCCATAAGATACAGGTTTCCCATCAAAAGTGATTCCAACAAGGGAACCCAGCAAGTTTTTTGTTTTTTTCACTAGGATTATAGACATGGAACAGCAGAGATAGTACTGTCATGCACTATAGAAATAATAATAATAATAACAATAACAATAATAATTTGTAGAGGATATCTTTAGCAATTTACAAGAAAAAAGATGTAACTTGAATAATCATGAAAAAAATCCTTATCATGCATTCCCTTTGATAAGATAAATTTTAGAAATGGAATCCTTTTTGCCTGCTGAATTTTCAAATGAATAACAAAAGTTCTTCTACGTGTTTCCATGAAAATCTTTTTGTTTCCAACAAAATATCTCTATGAGATGTTCATGGCAAGGCTTTCATGGATCTATTTAACTTGATTAATTTCAGATCAAGAGCATGCGTGATATAACAATCATGATATGACATATCAATCAAGAGCTATAATGACTAACCAAATTCATACGACACCACTAATACAATTTCTTCTCCATGAATTAATAGATTCTAAGACGTGATATATAAATGCAACCAACCAACAAGAAGCTAGCTAGGGGACACCCAATCCTACAAGATAGAAACAATTTCTAACAAGACAATCTTAGTCAAAGCCACCACAGCCACGAAAGCTAGCCGAAGGCGTGGCAGCGAGGCCACAACATTGAAAGCCAGACGAAACCAGGCTAGTCCATATGATATCTAGAGTAGATATGCATTTCCTAACATTCATTTTATTCTTTTTTTCTTCACTTTATTTTTTTATTTTTACACACACACATACTTAAGTATTGACTATTTCTTGTTTCTTAAAAAATATTTTTTTCAAGCCTACTAGTTAAGTGCATCAACCTAACCATGAGAAATCTAATTTCTTTGGAGTGTTCTCACAATTTCATCAATAACTATGTTTTTTTTTTTAATCCGTTCATTAATCTGCCATCGTTTGTTCATAAGACATTATGGGCTTCAAAGATATGGGCTTCAGCAAGATTGAAGCAGGCTTAAATGGGCCTCAAGCCGCCGAAAAAGTTAGGCTCAAAACTAATCAATGGGCTTGGTCAGCGTGTTTCTGCATTCCCTTCCAAATATCTAGTAAAAAGCAAGCCACCTGCCCACCTTAAATCTTTACATTGATGTGGTCGATGTCGATGTTCAACGCTTAAATTATTGTGCTCCCCACCTTTTGTACCTGGCTAATGATTATTTACCATATTAAGTTGATTATATTTTTCATTTTTTTTTATTCTAGATAAGACAAGGCAAATTGTGTTGCTCTGCTCTGCCCATCTGGCTTTAGGATAGCGATACAGATAATTCATTGTACACCCTTCATGATTATGCTTTTGGGTTAGAAATATATTAAAATAATAATATTTTTTTTATTTTTAAAAATTATTTTTAATATTAGTGTATAAAATTAAAAAAATATAAAAATATTATTTTTTAAATAAAATCAATTTTTCATGAAATTTTATGCTTAGCTTATGTGATTAGAATACTTGACCTAGCTTAAATTTTCATTTTGATATACGTTATACGTGACCGCACTGACGTGGCCTGTGCCTCCAGGGATGCTTAGCTTATATGACTAGAATACTCTCTTTATTTCACTTTTGACTTTTGCGCGAGACGGGTGGCTATGGCTGGTTCATTTAATTTCCATTCCACTATTTCCACTTGCTGAAGTGTTCTAATCTTACCTTCCTTGATTGAGAGTTGAGACTGATATTTTCTGAATTTGTACCTTTCATCGGCATTTAGATTATTTTCTTCGATGTGAGGAGATTATTTAAGGAGAAAAATAACTTTATTTTTAATAAATATTATGCACACATTCTAGCTAGCAAAACCTGAAGGTTTAAAATAGCCGGATGAGAAGGATTTACTCTAAATAGATTATATAGAAAGCATAGTAGGTATTTTTATAGATAAGGAGAATATAGCTAGACTAAAAGAGATCCCATTGCTAGATCAATATAATGGCAATACAAGTGCCAAAAAAAAGCTTAAATAGAGCTTCTCCTGTCAATTAGAAATCAATGATACAAATATTAGTCTTTTTATTGTTGTTAGTCAATAACTTTTTTTCTTACATTGTTTTTCAATGGCTCTCTCCACTCTCGCACAAGAAGTATAATGTGATCAAAATAGATTTTTTAGATCACAATAAAAAAAAAATTAAAAAAAAAAACTAGAGACTGAAATATATAAAAAGATGCCTTAAAAACAATACAATATTAAAAAAAAACTTGCATTTTTACTCATAATCATATTTAGTCTTTATAGTGATTATTGGATAAATATATATACAATAATACATAAAAAAATAAAAAAAATATCTAGCATATATTGTTCGCTTAAACATGTTTTTGTATTATGATATCTTTTACTGTATACAGAGGTGAAACTAAGGGGTGGCAAGCAGGGACCCGGGCCCCTGCAAAATATCTTTGTAAAATATTTTAGATATTTTTTATTTGACCCCTGCAAAATACCTCTGTAAAATATTTTAGATATTTTTTATTTAATATTTAAATATAATAAGTAATAGGTTATCTAATAATAAATTATTATTTTATTAATTAATTATCATTGAATATAAAATTATCTCTTTATCCAAGTTGTAAAAACAAAAATATAACTTGTTCAATTTAATTGTTTTTTACTGTTTTTCTATCTTTTTTTTTTAGAATCCTAACCAAAAAATACAATAATACAAAGCAATGCAAAAAAATTAAAATAAAGTTGTTAATTAATTTATTGTTCATCAAAATAAGGTAATTAGTGATCCAAATTTAATTTTTTTATGTTTGTTAAGAATTTCATGAGGTTTATATATATATATATATATATATATATAATTTTGCTATTTTTTTTTCTAAATCTACTAGTTTTACCATTTTTTTATTTTTTATTATAGTGAATGTCGTTTTTTCTAATAAATTGAATATATTTTATATGTTTGTTTTGATTAAGTTTGGATTTTTTTCTGTTTTATTTTTAGTATAATCATTAAAATTGTCAATTTTTTTCTCACATGTCTAATAAATTTATCTAATAAAATTTTCATGATCTTTCTAGCCAAATTAAATTCTTTAAAAAATATATACCTCTTTTTTATTCAATTTAAATTTTTTTTGGAACTAATAATTTTATTTTTTATGTTTGATTTGCTTTTATATATCTATTTTTTTAATATATTAATTTTATTTTTATATATTAACATGTTTTACATATAAAAATTTATACCTATTATATTATTTTTGGCCCTCCTTGTTACGTAATTCCAGCTCTGCCCCTGACCGTATAATCTATTTTTATTTTATACATGTTTATTTTTAGTATTTATTTTTTCATGCATAAGATATTATGTGAAGAATACAAGAAAACACAGAATTATTTATTAAAAGAACAAATTCATCGATTTTCTTACTTGATTTGCTTTTATATATCTATTTTTTTAATATATTAATTTTATTTTTATATGTTTTACATATAAAAATTTATACCTATTATATTATTTTTGGCCCTCCTTGTTACGTAATTCCAGCTCTGCCCCTGACCGTATAATCTATTTTTATTTTATGCATGTTTATTTGTAGTATTTATTTTTTCATCCATAAGATATTATGTAAAGAATACAAGAAAACACAGAATTATTTAGTAAAAGAACAAATTCATCGATTTTCTTACTAAACATTGCAATTTAGAAACTTAAAGACTAATTATTTTATATATGATTAACCATCGGTGGTGAGATAAAAAAACAAAAAAAGATGAGTAAATGTCTACTAGTGGGTGAGATTGCGGATGGTTTTAGGAAAGAAGAGGAGGGGAAAAGAAAAGTTAAAAAAAAAGACTTTGAGTTTTCAGTCGCGCATGCAATAGATATGTATACTGATCGCGCATGTTATACATGCAAAATTGCTTTTCTCAACTCCGATAGTATGAAAAATGTGTTTTTTTTTTTTTTTTTGATATTGTACTAATGTGAGGAAAAAACCTCCGTAATCGTCGTAGATCTCAAAGTAGATATTGCCCACATGGCACAGTGTTGGCTAATCAGTAGAAGAACTGTCAGCATCAAAATGCGAGCTAGTTAAGAGAAATAAATCATATTGCCGTGTGATTAATGATTTATGAAAATAATTATATATTGCATTTCAGTAATCTTTTCATGGCTAGGCAGCATACTAGTCATCTACGCAATCATCTACACTGACTCACAAGGGTAAGAATGAAATGAAATAACAAGCAGCTTCTAACTCAGCGATGTAAGAAGTTGTTTATCTTCTTTTCAACTTTGGTTTGAGTTTTAGTACCAGTAGAGTTGGCGCGTAGTTTTTTTTTTATATCTGCTGGTTCCTCTCTATATGGTACGTCTATCATCTTCACGGTGCCTTACCTGTTCACTAGGCTTGTAGGATGTTTCGTGGACCATGAGATTAGTCGTAGTCGTGTAAGCTGGCCCATGTTAATAAAAAAAAAAAATGAAATGAAATGCTTAATTATTACCTAAGGGATCTTAACGACATGCTGGATCTTCAGCTTAATTATTACCCCAAGGGATCTTAACGACATGCTGGATCTTCGTTGTCGACGCTGATCGCTGCCTTTCGCAAGCCACTAAACAATTATATTTTCGCAAGTATAAAATCCTCATATTCCTCTCTTTTCTTTTCTTTTTAACAAGCTTTCTCAGATGCCTTGCACTCGAAAATCTTAGGCGCCAACAATATTGATTGCCTCGAGGAAGGGTCAATGAGGGTGTTAATTTCCAGATCAACAAGAATGGCTTGCCTAGCCCGAGAATTGATGGATCAAGAGCCTTTGCAAGAGATTGTTTCTCTATCTCTTGATGGCATCTGATGCTGCCCTAATCAAAGCTAAATCAGGAGTGCTCTTATGCACTCGGATCCTGACTCCTAAAAAGCTGAGATTGGCTGAAATATTTGAAATATGTGCCCCTGTTCTTAACATTTCTTTATTTTGAAAAAAAAAAAAGGTTCATAAAACCTTGAAATACTTTAGTAAAGCGACACAAAGTCACTCTCAAATCAGGCTGTTTTAATCTTACAATAAAAGTGGAAAAACATTTTGTGCTTTAGTGCTCTCGTTGTTTTGTTCCTTTTTTTCAATTTAAAATGAGAGGGCAGGCCATGCTTTAGGAACAGCATCAGCTAATGCACATGCAGTTAACGATGAGGATGTCCTTTCACTTATTTTTCTTTGCTTTTCTTTTTCTCCAATACGATGGGCCAACCCTAATAAGATGCATTGTAAAGCAATCAAAATTGGGTGGTAATTATTAGTGTCTTTAATTGCTGTACTCTCAGATGAATGCCTGGATAACTCATGATGCTTTTTGAAAGTTATAGTAGCTTTTGCAATTAAATTTTTTATTTAAAAATAGGTTTAAAAAAATTATAAATCATAGGTTTTTTTTAACTAAAATTTCAAAAATAAAATAAAATTTAAGGACCATATATCATAATATGGGCGTGCATTAATTAACTAATATTTTTAAATATATAATTATAACAAAACTAGGAAATGTTCCTGTGCTAACTTTTGCGTTCAATGAAGCGAGTAATGACTAGGAACTAGGAAATCTGGCCTTTTATCTCGAGGACCTTGTTTCTTTTCCCTGTTGTCTCGCAAGTACAAAAGCCAGATCCCTTAAAGCACAGACGACTTCTTCATATAGTGCAGACTTGCTAGATATAGAGGCATTTTGAGGGAGAGAGTAAACAAGAGAAATGGCATCTGAGGCAGAAGACGAGCCAATCTTCACGCCACCAAGGCTGCTGCTGATGCCAAAACCACATGCACATATACAGTCACCAGAGAGGTCAGGGACACTAACCCCGCCACTCCAAACTTCAGCCTCTGTCCCATTTCGGTGGGAGGAAGAGCCTGGCAAACCCCGGGAGAGCACCGCCTTGGTCCCCAGGCCCATTAACTTTCCACAAAAGTCCCTAGAGTTACCTCCGAGGCTGTTAATAGACACCAACATGACCAAACTACCTTCACCCACCACAGTCTTGGAGGGTCCTTACATGGGCAAGTCATCAAGATTCCAGTCTTCTTCGTTCAGAATAATCAGAGCAAGGGAATGTTATGGGTCCTTTCGCAGTTGCAGTCCTGAGAAGGGCCAGCTTGGCACCATAGTTCTTAGCAAGAAGCGAGTCAAAGAGAAAGGCAGGTTTCTGGGTTCCTGGAGTTGGGGAAGGAGGGGTTTGAAGGGTAAGAGAGAGTCTGGTGGGGGTAGTTATGTCTTTCCATCTTCAGTGGATAGGGAACCTGCTGATCATTGCGTCAATGAAGAGGAAGAGATGATCAGTAGCAGCGACAACGTCAAGATGACAAGATCAGGGAGTCTCTCTGCTGTCTCTAATGCCAGGTCTCAATTCTGGGTTAGTTCTCGTCTTAACCTTTCCTAAATTTCCTATCATTCGTACTTATGTGCGATTCTTGAGTGAAGTACTAGTAATTACCTTTCCTCAAGCAAAGAATAGAATTTCCGTACTCTTTGAGCAAAAAATAATCTATTCTGATTCTTATCAGGAACTAGCGATTTTCCTCTTTTAATCTCTTCATTAGTCACAAAAGATTATTTTTTTTCGCTTCCTTTTCACTTCTTTAAAGTTTAACAAATGAGTTTGTGACATAACAAAACAACAAAATTATACAGTCATAAAAGGCCATGAGTGAACAGCATCAATTCTGCTGGTAATTTGAACAAATAATTCAGGAGAGGTCCCATTTCACCAGCCGACGCAGCTTGCCAAGTGCAATAATGTTGGCCTTGTGCTTATAGTAGGTTGTTAGAGTGGGTTCCAAAAGCGTGGTCAGTATAAATTTCAGTGTGCACAGTAGCCATACGAGCTTCGATTGCCATAAAGAAACCACTGTGTTGACATTTTGCAGGCGAATATTTACGAGGGCTTGAAGCAGGTGGTGCCTTGGAGGAGTAAGGAGCTGAAGAAAGACCACGGGCTTCTGATTTGACATATCTTGGGGTCACAACAGGATAGAAAAAGTCCAATTAATTATCTGTAAACCGCTAGGGGTGGTCCTATATTCTATCGACCTTCGATATTTCTCTTTCAATGAAAATGACGTTTTTATTGTGGCATTTCCCATCGCCCCACGCTTGTTCTCCTACTATGCTGTCATCTGCACCGGTTTTGGAAGGGCCTTCACCTGCAACCTTCATCTGATCAGTCAAAAGAATTACAGGACCCTTTTGTGACGTGGTCGGAGATGGCAGCAATTTGATGGTATTGTCAAATGCATTGGCAGTGCAAGCTTCTCTTTTCTTTTTTGATGAATAGCAATAAATGCTTTTTGTAAAGGACTGAAATGTTCTTTTGATGGTTCGCTTAGAGAAAGCAACAGTCCTACAGGCAAGAAGTGTCCAAAGAAAAAATGAAATTACCGCTGCCAATTATATTCTGCATGCACTGCCTAGAACCGGAAGCCCCCGCCCATTATCGATCTCTTAATTATCAGATGTCTACAAACCAAATTTCTATTGAATTGAAGTCAGTACACTACGAACAATTAGAATCTTCTTTCGGTGAGCCGCGTTAAACATTTTAGAGCATTACCCTTAAAATCCTGCTGGTACACGCACCCTCCACCATCAACATTTTGCATAAGAAAATAGAAGAGATTACCAGTCGATCAGGTTGCCTCAACTGGGCTTGCCAGCTCCAATCTGTATAGCTGGAAACATTATGATTGTCTCTCCTGGTAATTTGACCAGTTGAATCACATAAACAATTTAAAATTTAGTTATTCATCATTACCATAAGCTACGGTGGCTAGCAGCCCATCATAATATGATACCCATATGATAGTAACGTTAATATAGATATTAAAGAATCCACTCCTGCGGCCTCTGTAATGAAGAGATTCAAATTCATCTGATAAAAATACAAATGAGTTTTGGAGGAAAATGAAGCTAGCTTTGATTAAAGTGCAATCAACTTGACAAGAAAACATTCATGTGCTTACACAAAACAGGTTGATGCCCAACATTCAATATTTATGAGGGTTCCATCATGTAAAAAGGTAAGACTTATTTCAAGCTGTTAGGAACCGGAAAAAAGAGTAACAATACAATGGGGCTGGGGGAACGTTTGAAACTCTGCCACTTGCTTCTACAAATGATTCATCCCTGCCTTTTGCCTGTCATACCTGCAAGCACCTGCAAAAATGCGAGACATCAATACTCAAACATATAAAGGAACAATAGCATAGTTGGAAATTCTCATGAAGATGGTTCAAGAATGTTAAATGCCCTTTCAATATCACAAACTTGGCTTAGCCCTTTGATGCCCAATTAAGTACAGCACCTAAAACAACAAAATCAAGCATGCAACACGTCCCTGCAAGGTACTAACAAGCCTCCAAGGCTTTGATAATTTAGACGTGGTTTCAGCAGGTTTATGCATTCTTCATCTAAATATAATCATAAACTTACAAAAACAGAACAAATGACGGGAAATTGAAAATGCATAACCATGCAAACTTTTGTTAAAATATGCAAACAACCAATTAGCTGTAACCTGATACAAATCAAGTTAGGTCTGAACTTTACCTCAAAATGACCACTGACCAGTTTTGCAAGATCAAGCATGTCTCTCAAACTATATATTAGGTCAAGTTGAAATTTTACAGGAAGATACTAGACATATGGAGCTATACTATGGTAGGATTTCAGGTCAATCAGAGTTTGGGAACATTATTTTAAATTGATTTAAGTTGTTACTGTTTTGATATATCTGTCGAGAAAGTATTCTTTCTTGGCTTTTTCCAGCCCAATCAATCCAGATCTGTAATGAGTTAATTTTGGACAGAAAAGGGAATTAAATGAGGCTTATTTAGGCTCTAAACTTATGCACAGACTTGGGCTAAGAGGGTTCCTAATGCTTGGATTCATTGAAGAATTGAAATCCATACTTTGCAAGGATTCCATGTCCCACATAGACTTGATGTGGCGGCATCTAAGAGGATCTTCCCCTTAAGTTTCTTTTCCTTATTTTGCAAGTATTCCTAGCATATCAAGGAGACTAAGAGGATAGAATATAAGAAAAGAAATTCTAGCAATCAAAACAAAGTTTCCTAGTTGAATTCCCACACTAAAAGTTTCGGCTGCATGGAGAGATTCTAGCATGAAAACTTTGTTTTTATTATCCTATTTTATTTATTTGATATTAAACAATTATTTTTAATTTGGGTTTGTTCTACACCATTAGACATTGTTTAGGGATTTATTTCATTATTGGACTTATGTTAGTTGATTCCTAGTTTAGTTTTATTAGCTTGCAATCCAAAAGGAATCCATTAGAGTTATTTAGAGGAGATTATATAATGTTTTTAGAGCTACAAATTTCAGTAGCTTGGTGGTAATAAATAAGAGTTTCTTTCTTTTGATTATTTGCAGTAAAACATCTTTTCTTTGCAGGGATAAAGATCGTACATTCGACTTATCGAAGATTACTAGCATCGTGGCGTTATTTGTGTACTTCGGGTTCTTAGTTACATGGTTATCTTTGGGTTCATGTTTACTCTAATAATACCTTTGGTTCTTAGATACATTATTACCTCTAGATCAGAGTTCTATCAAATCTGGTTTTCAGCTTTCCGGGTTGTATTTCAATGTCATTGGAGGTTGCTTGACCACGTGATCAAGAAATCCACATCATAACCCAATCAGACCCAGCAAGAATTGTTTCCTTTCATATAATTAGTCAAAATGCCATGTCTGGACAGAATATTCCAATTTATATCAATGTGGGCGAACAAGTTGAGACACCATGGAGTATCAACAAAACAATACTTATAGCAAGGCTCATCTATTCAGAACAAGGATCATTACTGGATGAGTAATATGCCATGATCAAGAAAAATTTAACAGTGCAGTGCTAATTACTAAAACTATCCACAGGTCCTAAGGCAGTGCTAATTGCTAAAACTATCCACAGGTCTTGAGGGGGGTTATCCACAGGTCTTAAGGGGTTAACACCTAAAATAGGAGCTCAGCTATGCATATAAGTACAAAACACAATCCACCCAAAAGTAGTACAGAGACTAAACATTTGTTCCAATGTTTTGGATTGGAACAATTATAACAAGCTATAAAACTAAATACTCACATCACTAATGGAAGGCTGCTTTTCAGGGACGTGCTTGCTTCCTTCTAAGGAATCCAGAATGGGCCTCACCACAGCTGGAAGGAAGAGACCTGAAATTTTGATAAAGTTTAAAGAAAGCACTAGGGATTTTTTCCATATTCCAAAAAAATTAAGCCTCCATCGAGTACAATAAAGTAGGATGTTGTCGTTGCATAAGTTCTCTCCAGTTTATAAGTAAGAACACCACATGGATCGGTAGAATATTTAAAGTTACTGCAAATTTAGAATTTGGCAACTCAAGGAATATTCTGTCAGAACGTGATCATCAGCTACACGAAAGCTTTATCGGGTACAATTCTACTGTGAATTTCAATCAAGCCGTAAACATTCATTTACCAATTCAATTAAAGTAAATTTTAGAAAAAAAGAATTGAAAATTGAAATGAGAAACCCTAAGTCCCTAATACTGTTTTGGTACAGTTCACATGGAAATCCCACCAGCATGAAATTGATTGTTAAGCATTTTATTCACTAATTAATCTTATCTAATCTTAACGAACCATAGTCTCATTAATTGAAGGACGGAATTGAAAAACAAATTGACGAAGAAAACTTACCGATACCACCAATAAGGCAAGAAGCAGCCACCACAGGCTCTTGCGCTATGAACATCCTCAACTTTTCCATCACCGGCATTTTTGTTTCTCTCTCTCTCTCTCTCTCTCTCTCTCTCTCTCTCTCTCTCTCTCTCTCTCTCTCTCTCTCTCTCTGTCCAAATTTCTGATGTAGCTGGGAGGATCTTTGAAGACGATGGGTACTCGCCCGGATCCAGGTCCTCTCTTTAAAGCCGGATGGAGCCTCGAGTGTTCAGGCCGGGCCAGTGTGGGTCGGATAATTGAGTTGGTTGGACTTTTATACAAGGACCATTGTCCTCTAAGCCTAGATCAATTTGGTAGGTCCAAATTGAATTAATTTCTAACTAACCTAGGATTGAAGTTTAGCATGCACCCGAAATGATGTCAATTTAGGATTTGGTCTAGTGGTAGAAGGGGCTTGTTTTCTTTCATTGTACTTGGATTCGAGCCCTAGCGTGCACGCCTGTAGCTTTATCGGGTACAATTCTACTGTGAATTTCAATCAAGCCGTAAACATTCATTTACCAATTCAATTAAAGTAAATTTTAGAAAAAAAGAATTGAAAATTGAAATGAGAAACCCTAAGTCCCTAATACTGTTTTGGTACAGTTCACATGGAAATCCCACCAGCATGAAATTGATTGTTAAGCATTTTATTCACTAATTAATCTTATCTAATCTTAACGAACCATAGTCTCATTAATTGAAGGACGGAATTGAAAAACAAATTGACGAAGAAAACTTACCGATACCACCAATAAGGCAAGAAGCAGCCACCACAGGCTCTTGCGCTATGAACATCCTCAACTTTTCCATCACCGGCATTTTTGTTTCTCTCTCTCTCTCTCTCTCTCTCTCTCTCTGTCCAAATTTCTGATGTAGCTGGGAGGATCTTTGAAGACGATGGGTACTCGCCCGGATCCAGGTCCTCTCTTTAAAGCCGGATGGAGCCTCGAGTGTTCAGGCCGGGCCAGTGTGGGTCGGATAATTGAGTTGGTTGGACTTTTATACAAGGACCATTGTCCTCTAAGCCTAGATCAATTTGGTAGGTCCAAATTGAATTAATTTCTAACTAACCTAGGATTGAAGTTTAGCATGCACCCGAAATGATGTCAATTTAGGATTTGGTCTAGTGGTAGAAGGGGCTTGTTTTCTTTCATTGTACTTGGATTCGAGCCCTAGCGTGCACGCCTGTTATTCCCGCGGTGCTTTATATGCCTACTGGGTTTGCAGGGTATTCAGTGGGCCGTGGGGATTAGTCGTGGTGCGTGCAAGCTGGTCCGGACACCTCACATAAATAATAAAAAAAAAACAAGAAAGGGCTATTATCGGAAGATTACGACTACTGCATAAAAAGATAGTATTCATGCAGCCATTTATGCTATTATGAATTTATTCCATGCTTCACCTTAAAACTACCCAAAAACAAATTGACGGGTACTGAAGAAGAAGAAAAATAAAAAGAGGCAATTTTTAGCCCTAAACTTTCTAGTTTCTCCTCCCATAACCACACGTGACAGACACCAAAATCAGAATTTTCAGTTTTCTCAAACTGAAAAAAACTAAAGCACACAACCACCAACTCAAGAATCCATAAACAGTGTGGATTCCACAGAAGAGTCGGGGCATGAATCCTGGCTGTGGTACAAGAGGCTTCCAGCTCTAGTTTTTAAGTTCTTTACCAGACCACCGCCTCACTTTTTTTAATCCACCATACCATATATGTATAACAATGCAAAGCATTTTTTAAAAGCATTTTTTAATTTAAAATACAGCGGGAGCCATGGGAGTGAGCACTTACCGTAGAATAATGCAAAGTATCTTTTAAAAGTATTTTTTAATTTAAAATATGTTAAAATAATTTTTTTTATATTTTTTACATTTATGCATCAAATTTTTTATAAAATATTAAAAAAATTATTAATTTGATATTTTTTTTAAGCCGTAAACACTCTTGAAGCGCAACCAAAAGGGCTCCCAGAAGGGCTCCCAGACACAATTTCCGACCACTTTTGAAGCGCAACCAAAAGGGCTCCCAGACACAATTTCCGACCACCACAACATTGAATGGGGAGGGAGTGACAGATAGCAACACTAATACTAGATCAATACTAAAGTTCAATCAAATGTACAGATGATCACCAAAAGAGAAGATTGATGAGATCTTCTGGAGCCAGAACATAATCATCCCAAAATATACACACGAACAGCTCCACACATCATCTACGCAGAGGTAACATCAGGACAAAGAACAAATAAAAAAAAATACATACATGGAAACAAATGTTTCGTTGTAAATCAATTTTCACAAGAGGGAATTTGGCTGATACTCTAGAAAGGCAGCACCCAACCCACTGTCCATCCCACAAGCAACCCAGCACCAACAAGACCCAACCCTAATGCAAAAGCAACAGCATACTTGCCAATATCATGCTTTGGATGACATTCCTTGCCTCGTTTACCCTTTGATGACTTTTGCCAGCTCTTGCACAGTTTCCTACCTTTTTGAGGAATCCATGGAAGAACTACAGGGAGGAGATTAGATATTGGCTGGTCGCTGTTTTTCATCTGGTAGTAAAGGGTTTCGAGCTGCAGCAGTTGGAACCACTGCTTATAGGCAAAGAGTTGAGAGGCTTGTTTGAAGAAGAGTTTGACAATATGCTCCTTCTCAGCACATGCTTGCTTTGCTACCTGCTCAGCTTCCCTTGCACGTGTCTGAGAATGACGGAGTGCTTCCAGTAGTTGAGCCTTGCAAGGATCACTCTCAGAAATTTGTCCAATTTCTGCAGCTTCCTTAATGGTTGCTGCATAACTTCATTTCAGGTTGCAGGTAAGAAATTTGACCATCATGGATGAGTAGCATAAATGCACATAGAAGTATTCTATGTTAGTAAACTGCTACAATAGCCTTTTTTTACAACATTATAGCAGAGAAGTAGTGCAGCAAAATAATAGGAAGAGTGTAAAGATATTTGGCCAATAAATTGATGCATTTACATGTCAGGCAAACTTATTCAAAAACAAATATAAGAAATTTGAACACCATGGATGAGTAGCAAGACTTTGACTTCTTTTTTTTAATCCAGATCCACATAATGTGAAGCAATGAGTTCATTGTCGCTTTATACTTAAGAATTCATTAGTTCATAATATGCACTGGTCTTTATTTTGATTTTTTTTATCTTGACCTTTGAAAAACCAACGAATCACACACTAAGCACGACATATTAAATAATCAATCGGATTTTCTATTTACTCAACCTTTCAGAACTAGAATTCTTTCATTTTTTTTTGGAGGTAAGAAATTTGAACACCATGGGTGAATAGCAAACAGGCAAATAGAAGTATTTACATGATAATAAACAGCTATATTACGCTATTAGCTTCTTTTTTTCACAAAATAATAGCAGAGGTAGTGCAGCAAAATAATATAAGTGATACAATATTCATCCAATAAATATCACCAGAAAATACAAGCTCAGAGAAAACCTGGATGACTGATCAAAACCATGTTGTTTTTGAACAATAGATTGACGCATTTATATGTTGTGCAGAACTAATGGAGAACAAATACCACCAGAAGACATGATCTAAGAAATACCTGCATGCCTTGTCAGAACCACTTAGTGATTGCCCTTCAGTTGAACCTCTTTGTTTTCCAGGCATGCCTTCAGATTTGGGACAGCCCTGCACATGACCAGTGGCGGAGGAGAAACAGCCAATTTGTGCCTCCCAATCCAGAGATGATGCCAGTGTATTATCATGCTGAAAAGATCCAGAATGAGCACATGGGTATTTCCTGATGTGAACCTTTTGAGGTGCGGGAAGGTCACAATTCCCAATATAATCAAGTGACTTCTGTGCAACCAGGGAGGCCAGATCATCTTTATCTGTTTGGCGCCACCATGGCATGTTCTTTTCACTCCCAATCCAAGATGATTCTGGATCAAAGCCATACTCATTGTCCTTTCGTGATTCAGGCCATCCAATAAGATCCATCTCCGTCAACTTGGAGTTCCTCCTTGCATCCTTATGCTCATTAAATTCTTGAAAATCCTTGTCATATAAACCCTTTAGCTCTTGTTTCTTAACATCACAATCTTTCTTCATATAATCAGCAGAGATCCTATAATATGAATCAAGAGATGACTCGCTATTCTTGCTGCCATCCAGAGACATGTTGTCTTCATCATCTTGTTTACAAATTTCATTTTTAGAGGGTGAGCCTACAATGTTAGTTCTCAAGCTTTCCAACTCAGTTTCCAAAGCATTCAACTGCTCACGTGTTAAATATTTTTGGTACCCATAGCTAGGTTGAAGTTGAAGCCACCAGCTTGTATCAGGGGGTAGACTGTAATATGAGGGATTCGTTTTGGTGGGCATGAAACCTACAGAAGATTGATATGGCATATCTGCTGCACTTGGTTATCCATCCAATCACTTAGATGATGAAGATGATGATTGGCAACAAGCTAGCTTGGGAGCTCTTCTGGCATCTTCTTGAACAAAACAGCGATTAGCTGTTCCTTGCCATACAGCCCCGGCTTCTGCTGCTGCCATCACTCTCTTTTATTTCACACATCAGCAATGCGTAAGAAACTTTGATTGCAATTAACCTACATCAGAGTCCAAATTTTGTATGAGCTCTACTGCCAGTGAGGCTCCAAAGTGGAGGGGAAGTAACAGTTAAAACACAAAAGAGAATATATATAGAGTACCCTGGAACTAGATAACTTCAATAAAAATTTAAAGCAAGTTATGCTAGGTATACCGCAACCAGGATTTTGGTACACGTAACCAATGCTTATCGAAAGAAAACATTGATCTTGAGAACCTCCACACTTGACAATCTAAGTGAGTAGGAGAAGCTTGTAGAGGATTCCAAAGTAGTCGAGGAAGTTTTCATCGTATAAAATAGCAGCAGAACTTGAGAAATACCAGATACAGTAACTAGAATCAAAGATTATACGAGAGCTTTTGCACTAATACCAGATCATAGAGCTAAAATAACAACGAAGACGGTAGTGGATCATGGAGAGCAAATGAAAGCAACAAATAGAGCCGGAAACAAACAAAAGCATGCAATCACAAGAGATCCACCCACAAGCAAAGGCTTAAATGATCCAAAATTCATCTTAATGTAGCATGTATAATTAAGCAAACTTACTTTCAAAGCACCGAAGAGCTCCAAGCATTAAGCTAGGTAGGTGCTAACAGACTTGCAAAAAGCATGTCTGGATGCAAGCAAATTCCATAAATGCCAATAAAATTACATCTCTCTCTCTCACGCATAATCACCAAAGCCAAAAAGCACGCACGCACTCAGCGTCTCTTTTGCAAAATCATACACTGCCAACTAGCACAACGCGGCGTAGATTTAAACGAGATTTACCTTGTATGTAGAAATAGCAAAAGCACAATCCATAAAATTGAAGCATAAACACAAAACTCTTGTCAGTAAAACAGCAACTAATAAATCTGCCTTCACTTTAGCATCCAAGAAGCAATAAGCATCTCCGATTAAAGCAAACAAATTAATAAAGAAGGAGAAAGAGAAGATTACAAACCAGAGCAAAGCAGAGAGAGATAGAGAGGATGTGGAAGTTGAATCAGTCAGACAAATTGGATACGAGCAAGCGGAGGATGCCTCTAGTGGGAGGCATATAATATTATTCCTAATTCGCAGAATTGCAGATATGATTGAGTTTAATTCAATCCATTGTGAGAGAGTATTATCAGCAGTAGTAGGTTTGTAGCTGCGGGTGAAATCAATTTTTTTAACATAAAAAAGCGTTTAAGCATTGCTAATAGTTTTTTAATAAAAACCAAATAATTATAATATTAAATTATATATTTTTTAAAATATTAATACAATAATATAATAGTGAATGATATTTTTTAATATTAGGATGATAATATATTATTTTAATTTAGATCATAATATTCTAATAATTTTATAAAAATTATACAAAAATAAATTTTAAAAGCTAGCTCCTAATATTACTACTGAAAGATAAAATAAAAAACTAATTAAAAAAACTATTAGAGTTAATTTGTCAAACCCATAATTTAAATGATGAAATCAAGATAAACCCATAAAAAATAAAAAATATATAAAAATTAATTTTCAACCAACTCAATATTAAAAGATAAAGTAAAAAAATCAATTAAAAAAACAGAAAAAAAAACTCAAGTCAACCGGACCTAACCTTTTAAATCTCCGACTTGAATTAAGGGACCAATATAATTTTATAAAAAGTAAATACAAAGAAAATTACAAAGTTTCACTTTTAACATATCTAATGTTAAATATTGAAATTCAAAAAAAAAAACTAAATTCATAAGACTAAAATAACTCAACAAAAAGCACAATGAAAAACTTATGAAGTTTTATTATCAAACTTAATATTGCAGGATGAATTGAAAAAAACATAAAAAAATATTGAGTTGTTCAATGGTAAAATTGAAAAAAATTCAATTAAAAAAACCCAAAAAAATAAACCAAGTTAACTGGATTAAATTTGCTAACCACTAATTTGGATGATAAGATCATGATAACTTCATATAAAGTATATAAAAAAATTATATAACTGAATTAAAAAATATAAAAAAAATAAACAAAATCAACTCGAGTTATCATGATATAATTATTAATAATAACTAAAATCTTTGTGTTTTGAAACTAACTATTGTGATTCAATGATACGATTAGATTATACTAATCAAGTAAATATATTAATAATTTGATAATGAGACTTTAGTCGAGCTTTCTTTTTATCACCATTCCCTTAGTACATTTTGTTTTCTACTAAGTATAATTATTAAACTTGGTTTAGGGGTTGATCAGGTCAAGAAGTTGGGTCTCGAGTCATATAAGTTAACCAAGGTCAACCCAAAATATTTAAAATTTTAATATCTCACATGAAAAAAGATTAGAAACAATGCATATAAATGCAAGCTGTAAAAAAAATATAAAGGATGAAATGTAGTATAGTTATCTCACATTGAAAAGTAAAGAAATAATTCATGTGGATATAAACTATAAAAAAAAAAATGAGGTGCAATATAATTATTTCACATTAAAAAGTTAAGAAGCAATCTATTTGGATATATACTACGCATAGCTATCTCACATTAAAAATTAATAAAAAAGCTAAGAAACAGTCTATATGAATGTAAACTATTAAAAAAGAAATATGAGGTGTAATATACTAATGTCATGTAAAACTTTTAAGAAATAATTCATGTAAATGTAGTCATATATAGTTATCTTACATAAAAAATATATAAAACAATATATGTGGATGTAGATTATATAAAAAAAAAAATACAAGGCATGAAATATAGTATAGTTATCCCACATTAAAAAGCTAAAACAAAAGTCATATGAATGTAGGATATAAAAAAAAATATATAAAGTGTAGTGTAGTTACCCCACATCGAAAAGTTAAGGAACAATCTATATGGATGTAGGCTATAAAAAAATTATAAGGCTAGGTATATTTTTTTGGGTTTATTAAGAAAATGTTAAAAAAAAAAACTTGAGTCTCACCTGGATTATGTTGGGTTACCCGAGTTTCGAGCTGACCTAGTAGGTTACTTAGTTTGATCAAGCTAATTGCAAGCCCAAGTTTTACCTATTTAAAATCCGACTAAGGACCCCGGCCACCCAGATCCTAGGTTAACTTGTCAAGTCAAGCTGAGCCAAGTTTCATAACTATATAACTAGGAACCAACCAACCAACTATATTTTTTTTGGAGTCATTTAACATGACATCATCTCTATAATCCCTTTACACCTAACGTGGCCTTGCCTAATAATTTTTGTCTAGGAGACACACTTGTTAGCTACTTGTAAAGATGTAAATAAATATACATGAGTCATTTACACACATATATAATATTTATTATTATTTACATGTAAAAAAATTGGATATTTATATTTTATCCATCGTGTTTTTGGTATTCATGTGAAGATCTATTATTCAACTATTATTTAATATTAAAAAATAGTAATATATATAGGGTTAGGTTTGAGTCGGGTTTAATAATATTATACCTTATCTATTATCCATTAAATAAGGTAATTATCCATCAATTCGAGCTAAGTTTATATTAAATTGTTATTTTTAGCTACTTAAATACAAGGTTGTCAATTTTGTTTTGTTTCACTTGGAATGACCAATATATCTTATATCATTTCAAAAAATGGAACAAATTGAGAAAAAATTCATCTCGCTCTGAATCTCAATCCATTCTAGATTTTTCAATCAAATTCTACCTGAGATATTTCAGTCCATCTGTTTTGTTTTATGAATAATATTTTTTTCTTTTTATTGTTTCTTTAAAAAAAATTATTTTTATTTTTAATTTCATCTTTTAACACTTCGTTTATTAGATATTGGACTTCATAATTTGTTGTGTTTTGCTTTCTTTATGGTTATTTTAGTTTTATGGCTTATATCATAGGTTTGGCAGTTAACCCAATTGATTCAAAAAATAATTTTATTTATTTTTTAATTGATATTTTTTTTTAGTTTCATTATTCAACACTTCAACATTTAATTGATTATGAATTATGCTTTGTCATTTGTTTCAGTTTATTTTCTATGAAGTTAACATAATTTTATAACCTTGGTCATGAGTTTTATGAGTCAACCCATATAGACCTAGATTGTTTTATCGTGCTATTTTTTTAGATTATTTTTTTCTTGATTTCATCATTCAAAAATGAGTTTATTAGAAATTAAGCTTTATAGTTTATTTCAATTTTTCTTTATAGAGTTATCATGATCTTATTGTTGACTTTAGGGTCCCTTATTTATATTTTTATATATTTTGATGATAGCAATAAAATAAAACATGAACTAATAATATACGTTATTGAGAATACGCTTTAAACATGTTTTATACAAAGAACATGTTAATAAGTATAATGAATTATGTGAAGAACTCAATCTTGAAATCCAATAAGAGAGCAAAGTGAAGACTTATAATAAATGTTCATTTTAGTGATTAAATATTAATCTTTATATCTTATTTGATGACACAATTAAAATAAACTTATATATTTCACTCTATATACATTAAATGATTGATAATAATCATATAAAATCTAAGTTAGACGGTTCTAAAAATTCATCTAAATTAAACTATTAAATCTAAAATTCTGCATGAACTTGTCGATTATTTGAGATTATCTAATGAATCAATCAACCGCTTATTCATTAGTGATGAACAATTGAGATTTTTGCAGGAACTGACCAACGAATTGACTTGACTAATCTAAATTGGTAGACGATTTTAGCTACCAGTGGGACTGTAATGACTATAAATAGCTATTTTTCCTTAGAAATATTTATGTATGTATGGCTTGTCTAATTACAAAATTAGAAAGAGAATCCGGATATATATGATATACAAGCTATTATAAGAGTAAAAGAACATCAAAATTATCAATCCTTGATCATACTCTAATTTATGCTATTAAACATTTA